GGATCTGGAGAAGTCATTTACTCCATCCTTCTACTCCAAAACTAAAGCCAGCTGCAGTCGTGTCAACCCAAGCTATCTTACCTTTGACGTTAAGGTCCAACGACATTGTCTCCAGCTTGTAATCTAAATATCCCAAGCTGTAGTTCATACATATTAGTTTATACTTATGTTTTAGTTTTATTGATCCATCCACCAAGCACAGATTATTTTCTTATTCTTTGCAACAGCCTTTTGCGTGCCTGAAGACTATTATTAATCCTCTCCCCTTCTTTCTTCCCAAATGTCTCTCTTTACGGCAAAAAAAATCCCAGTTCTTGCAGACTTTCCTCATGTTTTCTGGACCTCCGCCCATTCTTGTGGATTTCCCGCCTCTTTCCAACTAGTCCACATCTTTCATGAACTGCAGTGTACAAAATAGGACACTATCTACCAGGTGAGTCTTTACGAGTGGCGAGCGGGCCAGAAAAGCTCTTTCAATTATCTTGAAGGCTCTTTAGACACCCCAACGCGATATTTGCCTTTTCTTCAAAAAACCCCCATGGTTTTGCCATTCATGCTCAGCTTGTGATCTATTGCATTCCATCCATTTTAGATGCCTTCTCTTAGTTTATCAAGACCATTTTAAATTCTGATCCTGTCACCCATCGTATTTGCAGCCCTTCCTAGCTCCATCTGCAAGTGTGATAGTCATACTGCATATTACATCAACTATGCCTTCAGTGAAAACGTCAAATAAAAGTAGATGCAGGCCAAAGCCTCATAGAATTCCATGCAAAATCTATATTTTGATAATTACTATTGATAATTACTCTGTGGATACAATTATCTAACCAGACTTGACCTCCTGCCTCTTCCTACAGCCGTTTCATTTATATTATGATTCACTAGCTTGTTTATGACAATGTTATAGGAAATAGTTGTTAAAGACCTTGTTTTTAAAAAAAAAAAAAGAAAGAAAAGAAAAAGTCAGGCTAATATGGCACCTGCTGCTTTCCCGGTATAACAAGATCATTTCTGCTTTCATAGACAGAAGTACTAGTGTAAGTGAGTTTATTCTTGGTAAATTCTTATTAGCTGCTACTCATTTGCTTCTCTTCTAAAACAAACAGATAATACACTAAAATTTTTCTGGGGATAAATCTCCTTTATAAAGGCAGGCATTAGGTTCATTCTGCCCAGCCTTCCAGTTTGTAATCCATCCTCCAGAAGATCTCAGAAATAACCAAATGATATTCTGACACCGCTTCATCCACCCTTTAAGTCTCCTAAAGTGAAGCTGACCATGCCCAGGCAATTTGAAAACATCTAAATTAGCTGGTCGCTTTCTAAGCAGGTTTACCATATTTTTAGGCTGTCATTTTAAACTTTTATCCCTGGTACTAATTACACTGTCTGCTTGCTGTTGACTTTTTTAGTACAGATTGATTTTAAAAAAGGAGGGAAAAAAAGGTATTAAACATTGAGGCTATTTAATGTCCTCTGCTGATAGCGTCCCCTATTTGTGATCCAAATTTTCCTTTGTTTCCTCCTTACAACTCTACTCATTTGTTTTCCTTTTGGTAAATTTTGCTTGACGCAGCTTGTACGCTTTGTCTTTATGAACGGTAGGCACACGCGCGTGCGCGCGCGCGCACACACTCACACACACGAATGGGGCACTGTGCTGGGTTCTCAACCCTCTAAACCTAGTTTCTGCTTTAGAGATACAGTTCTCTCTTACACTTGAGGACAATTAGGAAGTTGTGAATTAGCTGACTTCAACTGAATTTCCTTGTCTTCCTCTGAACGGGTATAGTTTTGCACTTGCTATCTTAATAGCATTTCTTGAAGAAACTGCCAGCTCTCCTTAATTTGTTTTTCCCTTAGACTTGCCTCCTGTGAGATATTCCCTACCCATTCTCTGAGTTATTGACACCTGCCTTCTTGAAATCTAGTGCTGTCAGTCACTTAGTTGGATCAAGTGGCAGAAGTTGACACTACATTCAGTGCAGCACCGATTTCTTGCAAAACGTCATATCTAGCAGAATACTTTGAGTTATATACTACACTGCCCTCTATCTAAGTGCAAAACCGCCACTCAGCTGACAAAGATAGTGACAATTTGAATACGGATTAGCTGTTAAGGTTTAGGATGCAGTTCAGCAGTTCAGAACTTAGTTTTTCTTCCTGTTCTTCATTCTAACTGCAGAAAAAACTTCTGTAAGGCAATAACAGCTGCCCTTATAACAGCTCTCATTCAACGTGAACAGAGTAGCTGGACTGATGAAATACTTACTTAGAACTCAAATTCTTTGCGATACCAAATAATGTAAACAAAGGGACATAACGACCCATGATCTAATTCACTTACTAAAAACTAACAACATTATTGATAAGCAGCTGTTTCATGGGGCAGCGGGCAGACAGCAAGACTGCAACAGGGGAGAGGAAAGGAAAAAAAACACTAAGCTTTCCTTAAAGCAAAAAAGCTTAATTAGACATCAGACAGAAGCTCTTATCAATGTCTTTGCAAAAACAGTAAGACCTCAGGTTCTATAAAACCCATCTAGTATTCCTTAGTGTTGGTTGAGAACGCTCAATGGATCCTCTCATGGCTGAACTACTAATGTCAAGAGGTCAGGCCAAGTCTGGCGCTTATATTGCAAAGTCTTCCTGTTACATAATTATTTTTACTGACAATATAAAAATGCAAGTTTCTTTATTATCATTACATGTTGATTTGAACTCCCTAAGCCACCAAAGTTCATTACCAGTAATCAAATCTCAGCTATGACCAAATTTTGTGAGAGTTGTAAACTGATGAAAACATAGGCACCATAATGGGAACACGGTGGTGGAAGACAGAGGAGCAGGTGTTGGCCTACAATCAATGTGGTGGTGATGCTACAGTGAAATCCATATTCTTCAATCTCTCCAAGTTACATGCTGCAGAAAACAAATGTGCAGTGTGAACACGCTATCTAGTGGCTGTATCAACTATGACATTAGTCCTGAATTCCTTTTACAGTGTTTGTGAGTTGCCTATATAGAAAAAAATATATACTTCAAATGAAATCAGGACTTGTAAGTCCGTAGCAGTTCTTTAAAGAACCTACGATATTTTGAGGTTACAGGTGATTAACAAAAATAATAGAAAAGGTACTAAAGTCTGCGTGAATTTGCAAACAAACTGTTGCTGTGAAATTCTGGATAGTCATTCTTGTGATTAATAATATTCTGACAGCCACTGGATAAACAGTAAATATTTTTCTCTTTCATATGCAGAGTATGTCCCAGATGACTAATAAAGAAAGGTTTTGTTTCTCAATAGCTCAAGAAGCCGAGTCCTTCCAGCTATTTTCTTTAGGAGCTATATTACACAATATTTTGTAAGGTAAAAGAAGAAAATCTTGATACTTAAAAAATGTAGTTTACAGTAATGCAAGGTCAAATATGTTCCCTACTAACAAAGGAGAAAAATTCCAACACTTTTCTCCCACCAACCCCTCAGGACAATAGACTAGGAAGAAGAGATGTAAATCATGCATAACAGGCTCCTGGTTTTCTGTTTCTGTCAGGGATGCATTTGACCTTCAGTAAATCATATCCCTTTCTGCTTCATTTTTCTTATCTGTGAAACAGAGAGAGCTGCTCTACAGAAGCAAAAATAGTTCAGTTTATAAGTAATTCTGTTGCAAAGACCCCCATTAATATATATAAAAATATGTAAGTTTTTTTATAATTTATATTATATAAGTGTGTGTATATGTAGAATATTTTCAATTTCATATGGTTAATTTACTTAGGGTACTACAGGAGCTACAACTAGCACATAAAGTTATATTTTTAAAAAGGAAAGTCTGACTCACCAACACTTCCAGGGATTTTGCACTTTCCTACCTATTAACTAAGAAGTCTCCCTAGACAGCCCTTATCCCATTTACCTCTAAGTACCCTTCAGCTAAATACGTGTATTTGTTTTAGGAGGCTGAGTGAAGACATGATGCTGCAGGTTTCAGCTTGAACAATATTTCTTGACCTGTTCCATTTTCCTAGGAAAGCAGACAACAACTTTGGTTGTTCTTCATGCATTGTGAAATGAAAAGTCTCGATTTTGTTCTCCCTTTTAGGTAAATTCTTCTGTATTTATATAATGTTCTGACCTGTTAACAAGTAGTTTAAAATAGTTAAAAAGCTTTTATTGATATAAAGCTTCTATTGTGCATGTCATTTACCATATACTATAGTTTGAGAAGGCTGCTGGACTACATTTAAGGAATTATAGCTCAGTTTCTAAGACCAGGTTCTAGCATCTTTCACCATTGCAATTTACAAGGAAATCATGATTTTTCAAAACAGTGCAAAAATGCCAGTTTCTTGGTCTTGTTCTTTCATCTGAAAGAAGTCCAAGGCTCAGAAGTTTATAGAATAAACATGTAATAACTGTCAGGTTTGTGGGCAACCTGCTTTAAACGCTCAAAGCTGAGGAACTTACCCTCCTTTCCCTTCTACCCCCAAGCATTTTCTGTATTTTCCTTTGATTCAACATTCACTTCAGACTAATTACGTTGACAAATGGCATTACGAAAATGCTTTCAGAAAAAAACTTGGCTGTTTGTTTTTAAGGTTACTACCAGTAACAGAGTCGGGCTTAGAAATACTACAGAAAATGAGGTACATTCCTTTCTAGGCCTTCCCGCACTATACCTCCAAAGTGCATGAATCCCAGCTTTTTGTTGCTTGTACAGTCAGCACAACCCTGACACAAAGGTGTCAAAATTGTTAGGTATTACAAGAAAAAAGAATCAGACACTCAACATTCATCACACAAACATTTAAACAAAAGAAATAATTTCTTTTACAAATGTATTTCTCTTGTATAAGAATAATTTTGTAAAGAAAATAGCTCTTTATACATTTTACAGAAATACACTAACACTTAGATTCTCTATTCACGGATAATGATTGAATGCGATTTAAGATTTCAGTTATGCTTTATAGTTACCAAATACCAATAAAGCAACAATATATCACTTCTTTAATATCCTTGAACTACTTGACTTAACAAGTATTGAGTCAAGACAGCAAAAACATTCCTAAGACCATGTTCATTTGCAGACATTCAAGTATCTTGAAACTGTTAGTTATAAAATGCCTTTGTATTTTTCTAAAAGTAATACCGTAATTTAAGTGTCAAGGAATAGGAATGTAAACCTCAACAAGGCAGCATTACTTTCTCACTTAGATTATCCTGTTGGCTAATACTGTAAGAATCAATTTGAACAAAAGCTTTTATACTAAACTAGTTTATTGTTAACGTGACCTTCAAAACAAGATAGCATAGGCTACTCTAGTAAATGCTATACAGCATTTAAAAACATATAAATGTAATAAAAATATTTTAATTTTCTTTTAAAAAGATCATTCAAAGTAGAGAAAAATCTAGTAAAATACTACACTATAAAAAGCAAATCTGTGAAGGAGGAGAAAAAATTGAGAAACATGTACACATTTATATATAAAATGTAAGGGTATGCTAGGAAGTACATCAATTTAAAAAAAAAAAAAAACACTCAATTTCTTCAAAGATGGTGTTGAAGTCCATACAGCATCATGTAGAGCTCAAGTGTAAACCACATTCAACAAATACTTTTTCTCTACAAGCGCTGTTTCAAGCACTTGTACTTATATGCAAATTTCCTCCAAAAATGAGCATGACAGTATGGAAATGTCTTGTCACAATACAACTATGTGTAGCCATGTTCTCTTGCTTTCTAGATATTTCACACATTTAAATAAAAGATAAGTGAATATTATATAACTCAATGACAGAAAACTGAAATTTAGATTATATATGATCTATTAAGTATTCAGACACAGCTACTTAAAGAGTTTGCCAGCTGTAGCCTGTGTGAGTACTGTTGATGTTTCCATGCTTCAAGATTCAAACGTGTAGCTACATTTAGTCAAATACGGCTCTCACTCTGAGTTAGCCAGTCTCCTAACACATACAATTTCCAAAAAGATTCAGCTGGAGCTGATACACCCCTCCTCCTCATGAGCATTGCAGCACAAGGTTGATATACGAGACAGTAATGAATCACATTATACTGGGTCACATGTCCACATAGCTAGAAGGAGAAACAAACTCCTCGCAAAACCTTATTCCAGAGATTTTGCAAATTCGGCATAGTCAATGTATCCATCATTGTTCTTATCATCATCTCTTAACACATCATCTATCAGACTAATCAATTCTTCTTCTTTCATTGCCTGGGTATGCTCACCACCTTCCTAGAAAAACAAAAACCATATTAAACAGTTTAGCCGTTTCCCACCTAGCGGCACATATGACAGATTAATGACAACTATTTGCTTGGATTGCAAAACATTCTTGTTACTTAATTCTTGTTCTAGCTTGCTGTTCAACATCAGTCCACCAAACATGTTGGCATATTACATAGATATATTACTGAAATCAGAGGCATTTGCTACAGAAAAAGAAACTCCCTCCAACAGCCTCTCTACTGAAGGAAAACTGAGGTACGGTCAAGGGGCAAATTGCGGCTATGCAGAAAACAGTTGTTGTCTTAGTCTCTCTGACTGAAAGTGTTCCCACATAGGAATGCATTATATAGTGAATATTTTTAAAAGGAGTTAGGCTTCCAGGTGTAATCACCGTACGCTGCTACTTTCTTCTAAATAGGAACTTCTTAAGCCTACAGAATGGTGAACTTCTTAAGCCTACAGAATGGTGAACTTCTTAAGCCTACAGAATGGTGAACTTCTTAAGCCTACAGAATGGTGAACTTCTTAAGCCTACAGAATGGTGAACTTCTTAAGCCTACAGAATGGTGAACTTCTTAAGCCTACAGAATGGTGAACTTCTTAAGCCTACAGAATGGTGAACTTCTTAAGCCTACAGAATGGTGAACTTCTTAAGCCTACAGAATGGTGAACTTCTTAAGCCTACAGAATGGTGAACTTCTTAAGCCTACAGAATGGTGAACTTCTTAAGCCTACAGAATGGTGAACTTCTTAAGCCTACAGAATGGTGAACTTCTTAAGCCTACAGAATGGTGAAACTCTTTTTATAAAGAGGACTAAGGCATACAGTGGAGAGCAGATTTGTGCTTTAACTAGAAGATACGCTTTTGCTAAAGACAAAAGTTTGTTAACCAATTTGTATTTGGTGCCCAATTTGGCATTGTCCTAAGTTCTGTGAAATTGTTTAGTAACAGTTCCTTATATTGGCATAGATGCAAGCCATGAAGTGAAGTTCTTTGGACTTCAAAACAAACACTCTGTGTCTACTGAACCACAGTTTATATTCCTAGCCAGAAAAAGATCTAAAAGCTAAATAGCACACAGTTTGAGTATCCGTGGCAGTTACAGTTTTGAGTTGAAAGCAACATCCTTAGAAGAAGAAGTGGCATTGTACTGTATGCTACTTCCATAAGCTCATATCAGTCTTTCTCAGTTTTGGCCATAGATTTAAAATCTCCGTTTCTCCTCTCCCCATCCCTGGCTACCTAATCATTTTCACCCTACAGGATGTAAAGTTTACACTAGGATGGAATCATCTTGGAACACTGCAACGTGACATGAAAAGCTGTGATAAAGCTAGTACATTTATAAGGCAAACCAAAACTAACAGAGGAAAAGGTCTCATTTTGAGGCAAAACTGGTCCACTGTGACTATATTCTCACAGTATTATCACTGTTCTATTGTAAGCTGTTTTTAGAAAGTCAGGACTGTTTCCAAAGACAGCTGCTGTTACAATATTCCACTTACCTCTTTGTGGACATGTGATATAGCAGCAGCAAGCTCTAACCCATCTAGTAAATTATTGCCATCGTAATCATGCATTTTGAAGTAATGAAGCTGCAGCTCTTGTGGAGACATCTCAGACTCTGGTTTGTCGATAACACCTTCCAAATGTTCCATGATGTGGCTAAGGAAAAACAAAACAAACAAAAAAATCAGTTAATGTTTAATGCACTGTTTACATCAACTTTAGTTTTTCAGCAGGTAGTCAAACACACAGGCAATGCTGTACTACTAAAAGCACACTGGGCAACCAGGAGGCCTGAAAGCTATAACTTTAAACAACCTTTGTACCTCCCTTCATCCTCGTACGTTACTGGTGCTGTACTCCCCTCTGGGATGATTTAGATAGCAACCCCCCTTTCTTCTGGTCTACTTATAGCAGGTTATCAAAATAACTGAAGTAGTGCCCCAAATCTCCTTTTGGCCATCTTTCAGAGTATAAGAACTGGAGGAAGATCTTTCGCAGTAAAATATGGAGTATACTAGGGACTTTTATTTGCTGCTGTCATTTGTTTGTGTGTATGAAGAAGCAAATGAGAACAAAGGTCTTACGCTAACTGTTCAGAATACAGTTTTGTCCAGAGTATGTTGACCTAGGTAAGCAGGATTCCTGTAAGATATTCTACATAGTACTAGTAAGAGTGAGATGAGAAGGTGCCCTGGGCTTAAGCCCAACCTACATAACAAGACTTATGAGATAAGCAAATCATTGGGAAGTAAAGTTTACGTTTATAGAACATGGAACACATACTCTTTATCTTGTACCAGGTTCTTATCAAGCCGAATATTTGCATGTTGACTCTCTCCTACAGACTCCTCAGCTAAGGCAGAGATGAAGAAAGCAGCCAGAAGGGAGAATAGCAGACGTGTTCTAAAATTCTGTAGGGCCATCGTGATCACCTAGAAAAAGGGAAACAAAACCCTCTGGAAATGGACGAAAGATACAATCTATTTTCAGTAGACTTATAAGGTGCTTAGAAACAACCCTACTAGTTCCTAGCATGTAAAAACTTACTTCATTTCAACCACTTAAAAAGCAAAAAATCAGAGGGCTCCAACTTAGGAATTTTTATGAGGGTTCTATTTCAAGGGAACACGCAGCAGTTTTCAAACAAATGACTTTTTTCCACTGTGCACGTGCTGTGCCTGGCCACCTCTAGATCTTCAAATAACTTCTAGTCAACCTAGCGTGCCTATTTCCCTCAGACCTGCCCTACAATCATGGGAGCAAAGGTAACTTAGAGCACCAAAGTGGCTGCTTCTGATTAGAGAGTTTATTAAGATGTCATGGACTAAACAACATATTTACAAAACCTGTAGTATTTCATTGCAGCTCTTGCTTGACAGAGAAGTAAAACGTTAAAACCCTTTCGCGGGATAAAAACGTGCAGCTGACTGCCATGCTGAAAGCAGTAAAACAGCCGTTGGTTTAGGGGGTGGTTTTTCGGTTTTTAAATGTTTGTTATTTCTTCCCCCCGCCCCCTGCAGCCCCCGGTGAAGCAACCCCCGGCGCCGGGCCCGCCGCGGGGGGACGCCTGA